AGTTGAGAAGAAATGGCTGAAGTTCTTTGTTGAATAATCTGAAGGATGAGATGCAATAAAGTAGGAATGGCCTTAAAGAGCTGAACATTTTGATACCTGAATGGCTTTTCTAGTTGAAGGTATGCTGAACTTATTAAGATGTGAAAATAGTCCAATAGGACTGTTATAAATTAACCCAATTCTTTTGTTTGAAGCATGAGAAGGGAAGACAGGAGATGACTGTTTAAAATCAACAGAAAGACTGATCACAGGTAGGTCATACAGCGCTGGATTTATAGAGACAGAGCTTCTGAATCCTGAATTAAGTTTTTATAACACATTTATCTTCTTAGGCTGCTGTACCGTGGACAGGGGGGCAACCTTCAATAGTTTGTGATCCTATTGGTGATTTAGTGTGAGCAGGTCATCCCCTGCGCTTGCTTGCTTGCTGATATGTGGTCTATACCAGGTGTGTGTCTGTGTGCGTGTGTGTGTGTCTCTCTGGCACCCTGATCTTGATCTCGAGGTACACTGTTCAATGGGTGGCCTGAGTTGCAAATTTTCAAAATAAAGATAAATATTTCAAAGGTATGATATTTAGAAAAATTCTGAAGAGAAGCATGAATGTACTTGGAGAGCTGAACATTTTGATACCTGAAATAGCTGAAAGTATGCTGAGTGTAGAATTTCCCCATGTGTTTGAATGGGGCATGATTTTCAGAATAAAGCTAAATATTATAAAAGTATGAAGTTTAGAAATGACTGCCCTTGAAAAGCTGAACATTTTGATACCTGAATGGCTTTGCTAGCTGAAAGTATGCTGAACATGTTAAAGATGTGAAAATAGTCCAATCGGACCCCACAAAGTGGGTAAAACAAGTAGGTGTGAATGTGTGTGGGTGGGTGGGGGGGCGATAAAAAGGGGGAGGGGAGAGAGACAGAGAGAGCAGGAGGGGAAGAGAGACAGAGAGGGGAGTTATGTTGGGGCATGTCTCAATTGCACTGCATTTTATGCACCACCAGATGGCACTCCAAGACTGTGTCATTGACTCAGCACTTTGAGCTCCCATTGACTTGTATTGCAAAATATAAAGCTGAATAGATTAAAAAGTATAAATGTTATAAAAA